TCAGGTTTGGAGCTGGATGAAAATCAGTTTTCACTGCCCTTTCATTTTGTAGCCAGCAATTTGAAAGGGGATGGTTTTGAGGGGAGGTCTTCAACCCTCAATCTGATTCCCAGCAAAACAGAAAGTGTGTGTGTGTGTGTGTGTGTGTGTGTGTGTGAGCACTGGTGGGCCACCAGGGTACTCCTTAGTGAGACACCCCCATCCCACCCTGCCCACAGTTACTTTGGCCACTTTACAAGAGGATACGGTAGTCTGGCTGGAAGACCTTTCTTGAAATTTCCCCACTTTATTCTCCATCATAGCATATTTCTTAGCCATTTTCTTAATTTATAATTACACATTTATTTATTTACCTGTTTTATTGGCTTCTCAACCCCCACCCTAGCCTCACCTATAAACTCCCTGAGGGCAGGAACTATTTCAGTTTCACTCACCACCACATAAAAGGCACACAGCACAGTGCCCAATGTATATATGTTTGAATGAACGCATGAAGAAATGATGCAAAAAATTGCCAAAGGAGAAAAAGCAGCATGATAGGAATGGAAAAATCTGATTCCCCCATCCCCCTTAAAGATTAATAAGAAAATCTTTAAAGACTGAATTTTTAAAAAAATATGTCCTTTAAAATCTCTTCAATAAATGGTGTTGGGAAAACTGGAGAGCCACATGCAAAAGAATGAATGTGGACCATCTGCTATCACCACTCACAAAAATTAACTCAAAATGGATCAAAGACCTGAAGGTGAGACCTGAAACTATAAAACTCAGAAGAAAATATAGGCAACACACTATTTGACATTGGTCATAAAGGAATCTTTTCGGATGACATGCCTACCCAGACTAGGGAAACTAAAAAAAAATAAGCAAGTGGGACTTTATCAGATTAAAGAGCTTCTACAAGACAAACGAAACCAGAATCAAGATGAACAGACAACCCACCAACTGGGAGAAAATATTTGCAAAACATATATCTGACAAGGGGTTAATCTCCATAATATATAAAGAACGCACACAACTGAACAACAAAAAAACAAACAACCCGATCAAAAAATGGTCAGAGGAAATGAACAGAAACTTCTCCAAAGAAGATATACAGATGGCCAATAGGCACAGGAAAAGATGTTCAATATCACTAATCATCAGGGAAATGCAAATCAAAACAACACTAAGATATCACCTCACACCCATTAGAATGGTTATAATCACCAAGAAAAAAAACAACAAATGTTGGAGAGGATGTGGAGAAACAGGAACCCTCATACACAGCTGGTGGGAATGCAAACTGGTGCAGCCTCTATGCAAAATGGTATGGAAATTCCTCAAAGAATTAAAAATACAATACCCTATGACCCAGCTATCCCAGTGCTGGGAATCTATCCAACAAACCTGAAATCAACAATCCAAAGAGGCTTATGCACCGCTATGTTCATTGCAGCATTATTCACTATAGCCAAGAAGTGGAAGCAACCTAAATGTCCCTCGACTGATGATTGGATCAAGAAGATGTGGTATATATATACAATGGAATACTACTCAGTCATAAAAAAAAGACAAAATCGTCCCATTTGCAACAATATGGATGGACCTGGAGGGTATTATGTTAAGTGAAATAAGCCAGAAAGAGAAAGACAAACACTGTATTATCTCACTTATATGTGGAATATAAACCAACACATAGACAGAGAAAACTGTATTGTGGTTACCAGGGGCAATGGGGGAAGGGGGTGGGCACAAGGGGTGAAGGGAGACATATATATGGTGATGGACAAACAAAATGTACAACCCAAAATTTCACAATGTTATAAACTATTAAAACATCAATTAAAAAAAATATCCTTTAGTTGATGTTTAGAGTTTAAATAAGTTTCAAAAAAAAAACCGACACTGCAATTTGAGATACATTTCTTGTTCCCTAAACACGCAGTGTTCGCTTTTGCCTCAGGACATCTGTACATGTCGCTTCCTCTGATGAAAGCTCTCACCCCTGCCCCATCCCTTTACCCTTGCCAACTTCTTCCTCTTTAATAAGCAAGTGACATTACTCTCTCCTGGAAACCTCTGACAGAGGAAACTGTTCCCTTATGCACGCCCAGAGGAACTCACATGTTCCTCTCTAAACGCACGCATCGCAGTGTGCCGAATTCACCTTTATACTTATCAGTCTTCCTAGACCAGTGATTCTCAAACTTCAGCATGTAAGAGAATCTTTTAGAACGATGCTTCTCAAACTTTAATGTGTAGGGATCCTGTAAGATGCAGATTAGGATTCAGGAGGTCTGTGGTGGGGCCTCTGCACCTCTAATGAACTCCCATGTGATGCCACATTCCTAATGTCAAGGCTCTTGGATGCTTGTTAAAAATGCAAATTCCTGGGCCACACTCCCACAGATTTTTCTTCTGAAGGTCTACGACAGGGTCCTGAATTCTGTGACTTTAACAAGGGCCTCAGAGCACTTCCGATATAGATGATCAATGGAGAACCCTTTGAAAAAAACTATACCAGTCTATGAAGTTCGAGGGCAGGCCCGTGCTTTGTCATTGTTTTCCCACCATGCATTACCCACAGAGTCTGGCACATAAAATGAATTAAAAAGCCACATTTGCAGAATGACTAAATTTTACTCACTATCACTAATACAGATCCTCAGCACCGAACCAAATGGCTGATCCAGGAAAGAGATGAAAAGCCAAGGCTAAGAACAGTCTTAGCTGGGCAGCTGCTGGCTCGCAGGCCTCCATTTGGTCAGCAGGGGACATTTTGCTCCTCTAACTTTAAAATATTTAAGTTCATGTCTCCATTCCAAAGGCGGTCTGCTAACAGCAGCCCCACCGTCTATTTTCTCAATAGACTTTATTTTCCAGAGCAGTTTTAGGTTCACAGCAAAGTTGAGTGGAAAGTACAGCCATGTATCCCTGCCCCCACACACCTCCCCTACTATCACTGCACAACCTCCCCCACTGTCAACATCCTGCACCACAGTGGTACATTTGTTACAACTGATGCACCTACATGGACACATCATTATCACCCCAAATCCATAGGGCCACCTGTCTGTTTATACCTCTTAGACCCCACAGTTATACTACCAATTAAATCCCTGTTTGCTCAAGGTAGTTTGAGTTGGTTTCTGTCCTTTACAACTGAAAGTATCTTGACTAAAGCTCCACCTTTCCGGACTTACCTCCCACATGTGCCTTTTCTCCACTATACTCCAGATTCACATGTTTTTATCATTCCTAGATATTCTTCTTTTCCTACTATCCTGCTTTAGACTGCCCCATTATATCCCCTTCTGCATCCACTGAAAGGCAGGGATCTTGGCTGATTCATCTTTGCGTTTTCCACAACATTTATCATGGTACCTAGTAAATGATCTCAATAAACGTGCTTTAAAACAAAATGAGATACCAGATGACATGTAAGAGGATTTTATTATTATAGCCCTTCATTAATTTTTTTCCTTTTAACCTTCATTTACTAAAGTAATGGTCAAGCCAAGATTCAATAAAGCAATGCTGTCTTCTAAGAAATAAAACAAAAGTCTCATCAAAAATGTTTTAAACTTAGAAAATTTGGGGTGCTATTTATAGCTTAAGGTTTACAAGCAAAGTATCTCACCCCATTTCCCCAAATATGCCCAAGTAAAGATGATTAGGATATTTACTGAGAGCAATGTAATATACAGTCATGCATTGCTTAACGTTAGGGATATGTTCTGAGAAGTGGGTCGTTAGACCATTTCGCATTGTGCGAACATCATAGAGTGCACTTACACTAACCTAGATGTATAGCCTACTATACACCTAGGCTACATGGTACTAATCTTATGGGACCACCGTCATACATACAGCCCGTCGTTGACTGAAACATCATTATGCAGCATGTGGCTATAATTTGTTTGTCTCCTTAGGTAAGATTAAAAGCATTTGAGGTGTAGAATACT